ACACTGTAAATTAAAGAGAAAATTACAGCACTACACAAGCACAGAAAACTGGTATCACTAACAACGTATCCATCCACTTTCCAACCAGACCACATCTTCTTTATGTTAATCTGTTTAAACTAACTTTAGCTACCTGTGTTTCCAGTGTAAACTCCTATTAAAGGTGCCACTTAATAAGAAATGGCAATTAAAGAGGCATGTTTCTCTCTAGAAGACTGCAATGTGGATATTAACTTATTCTTGACTGTGTGTCAGCTATTACAAACATTTCAGTTTAGCCGCCATATGAAAATCAAACTACTGTAAGAGCAGTGCTTAATTTGTAATGAAAAAGGTGCCAGGGCTCAAGCAATTAGGTGCCAGGACTCAAGCAATTTTTTTACTTTCATAACTGATGCGGCAAGCCTAGAAGTACTGGGGCTATTAACTGCCATGCCTAGAGGTGCCGGGGCTCAGCCCTGGAAAGCCCCAGCACAAATTAAGCACTGTGTCAGAGCTAAAAAAACAAACTGATATGACATTGATCTTCTTTTAATTTCAATCAAAGCATAGTAGCCTTGAATCAGAGGAATCGTTATTACTGAAAACTTTATAAAGTGTATGGGATGAATTTAGTTAGGCACAATAAAAATAGAAGGGTATGAAAACATTTTCTTCAAAAGACTCCTATTTGCAACTTTTAAAAGAATCAGTTGCTGGCTGTTGAGGACACATGCTCACTATTACAATAAAAACGTGTAATGATATACCTAAAAGTCACCAACATACTGGATCAAATTCATGCCCGGTAAAAATCTAATGAAGCCAATGTAGTTACACCAGAAATAAATTTCCCCCGTGTATTCGTACTAATAAAGAATTATGCAGGTGATTTTTGTATTTCAGCAATAGGTTACCTCATTTTGCAAATAGAATACCTCAGTCTTTGTGTTTAAGATCTCTCAGAACGGAAATCTTTTAACTTTAATCTTGGTATTGCTTAGGATATCTGAAGACACATTTTCTGGTTCCTTTCAATGAGATATCACTGCTGATGTTTTCACTGGCTTCTTACTGTGTGCTTTTTGAAAACTGAATAAAGAGCTCTCTTTTCCTTCAGCCTGGAGAACACTTTCATATGGTATTATTGTGTCATGTTTAATTTTTTTTATGTTCTTCACCTACTGAATTGCAGCTTCATAAAGTGATGGTTTTATTATTTTCTCCCCCATATCTATAAAAATAACTGTTTTAGTCATTTTAAGGTGGCTGCTTTAATAGTCTTGAAGATGGAAGCTATTACATACTCATACAAGTACCTGTTTATAACTTTTCCCTCTGCTAGTTCAGATCTGTAATTTGAGTAGATATTTGTATCTGCTGAAAAGAAAAACATCAACAGATCAACCACCTACTTTCTATCTGGATGACTTTAAAAGCAATTTCTCTTCTATTTTCCAGCAAACGTATCTATAAAAAAGAGGAACAATTAAATATATTGAAATGCTATTTCTATATTATTGAAGGTAGAGTGGCCCAGAGTACCTTGAATGGTCCCTTACAATATGCGCTAATTACTTATTAGCATCTTAACCTTTTTTCTATTTGCAGACCCCTACAAATTTTCAAATGGCAGTGCGGACACCTTTTGAAATCTTAGACATACTCTGCATACCCACAGAGGTGTACAGACCACAGGCTGAAAATCACTGTTCTATGGTAATGACAACCTTTCGCGGACCCCTTAGACCAGGAGTTCTCAGGACAAATATTTTGTCCTCAGAGAGAGGCCACCAACTCTTGCTGGTGGCCGATCTCATACTTTCCCCTAAAATACTTAGTTAGCTTTGGGAAAAACAAGTAAATATGAACATATACATGTCCAGATCATTGTCATTTATTTATTGTTAGCTAGTAAGTCTGTTGTGAAAAGTGATATTAACAAAGATGTAAGTATCACTTTTCACAGCAGATTTATTCAGCCCTGGCAAGCCTGGGGACTAATTAAGCCCTGGATGGGGTGTTGGGGGAAACAGCAGGGGCCAGGGGCCATGCGGGTTGGGGAGCTGGGGGAGGCTGCAGGGGGCTAGAGCCTGAAGCCCCACAGCAAGAGCCTGGGGCCTGCCACCACACAGCCAGAGCCGGAGCCCGAAGCATCTCAGCCACAACCTGCCGCCCCCTCCACCCCAGAGCTGAGGCCCAAAGCCTGAACCCCACTGCCCCGGGAAGGAGGAGAATTTACTGGCTGCCTGCTTCTCCAGCGTTGTGCTCCAGGTGTCTCTAGAGGGGGCAGAGCCCAACCTCTGCTGGCGGTCCCAGCAATCAACACCAAGGCAGTGCATCCAGGAGCAACAGGGCGGGGGAGGGGCCATTATTTTGCCACCCATCCCCACTCCATCACGGCCCAGGAGGCTGTGGCCACAAGAAGAGCCCCTGGTGGCTGCATTTGAGAAACACTGCCTTAGGCATATTCTGCGGACTCCCGGGGATCCAATGACCACAGGTTGAAAACTACTGTGCTAAACATTCTGTTACATCTTACATTTTGCTGTGACCTGTGAAGTAGTTTTCCCAGACCCGCAGAAGAGTTCTACATGGCTCAAAAGCTTGTCTTTCTCACCAATGGAAGTTAGTCCAATAAAAGATATTACCTCACCCACCCTGTCTCCTTAATATCCTGGAACTGAGATGGCTACAACTACACTGCATGCATTTCTGTAATACGTCACACAATACTCCATTTTGGTTTGTAAACATGTTAGGAACAGATCTCTAAGCAGAGAGTGTAACGAAGAGATGTCTAATACTGTGGCATTTCAGGCTTTCCACATAGACAAATAGATTATACCTTAGAAGCAACTGGGAAGACAAGAGAAGGCCAGAATGAGATTGTACCGTTTTTATGAGTGAACTGCCCTCTCACTGGCTGGCCCTTTTAAAATGCAATGAAAGCTGGTTAAAACAGGCAGATGGAGGGAAAGCTGCTCATGGATTAAGGACCTGACTTAATGTGCCCAGTCCATTTGAGGAAAAATGGGATCTAAGTGTAAAGGATAGCCAGAAAACCATCCGAAAAAGCCTAGATTAATCAACTATAACTATTCTTACCAGCAGTTCTGGATATATTTGTTCTGGTGCTTCCTTTGTGTGATAATAAATCATCTGTGATGGTAAACAAAAAGCCCAGCTCTGTGGAATATTTTCGCTGAAACGCAAAGGGCAGAAGTAGTGGATGTTTCTGCCCTCAAAATCTGAAATTGTATGCAAAGTGATGCAGCAAAATAGCCTACATGACTTGATGTACCCCTTCCAGCACCAAAAAAAATGGAAACATAAGCCCTACAATCACTTACACACAAGAAGTGTACCACTGTCAGAGACTAGTCACGTGAATAAAGTTAAACACAAGTGAAAGTATTTATGGGATTAGGGCCTTCAAGACTGCACAGTGCCCCATGGGGTCCAGATTCCTAATTCTCTGCAAGCTCCTACAAAGTAAATAGTAATACCCTGTTTATACTTCACTAAGGAACCACTACAAGAACTTAGCAAGAGTGGTGGTGGAACTGGAAAATTTGAAATTAAGATTGTCTTACGATAAATTATGCTTTAGTCAAAAGAGAATTAATTCAGAGAAATCTCAGAGCCTATGTTCTGCAGGTCAGATGAGAGAACCACAATGGCCACTGCTGACTGTATCATCTATGAATAGCAGCTTGCCAAAGTGATATTTCAAAACCAAGTGTTTCTACAGACAAAATCTGATTTTTTTTAAAAAAGTATTTATTTCTGACAGATAGCTCAAAACAGCTGAACAAATTTTGCTCCAACTCCCTCCCCCACCCCAAAAAAAATCACAATAGGACAAAACAGAAGAATACTACTTTTTTTTCAGGCAGATGTATTAACTGAAGCTGGGTGTAGTAATTACGATAGACCATAAGAGCTGAGTCTGCGCTACAAACGCACATACAGGTAAAAAGAAAAGGAGTACTTGTGGCACCTTAGAGACTAACCAATTTATTTGAGCATAAGCTTTCGTGAGCTATAGCTCACTTCATCCGAAAGCTTATGCTCAAATAAATTGGTTAGTCTCTAAGGTGCCACAAGTACTCCTTTTCTTTTTGTGAATACAGACTAACACGGCTGTTACTCTGAAACATACAGGTAAGTGTAAGAAATGCTGTTGGGAAAAGTAAGCAGCACCACAGACATGCAGGAACCAGAATAAAATCTAAATAGCAAATCAACGGATATGTAAATATACACAATTTTGGTGGTTGGGGGTCAGCTTGCTGCAGGGATCCACGGTGGGCACTTCTCTGCTGAGCGGCGATTGTGTGCTGGCCAGGAGTGCCACGTTAGAGGGGCAAAAAGAAAAGGAGTACTTGTGGCTCAAATAAATTGGTTAGTCTCTAAGGTGCCACAAGTACTCCTTTTCTTTTTGTGAATACAGACTAACACGGCTGTTACTCTGAAACCTGTTAGAGGGGCAGTGCTCCCTGGCAGTCGGGGGGAGAGGGGGGCACTGCAGCCAAACAACGCTCTTTGAAAGTTTGAGAGCGAGAGAGAAAATGTGTGTGGGGGGGGGGGGGGAAATGGGGAGAGGAGGTTTTTGGGTTTTTTTAATTTAAATTTTGTTTAAAGTTCAAATGTTGACCAAAAAATGGGACACAATTGTGAAAACTCCCCCCCTCCCCCTTTTCCCACCCAGCTTTCATCAGTGCCCCTCATGTGGTCGCAACAGGCTGACCAGGGCCAAGGAACCTCTCACGTCCAGGGTGGCTCCGCATAAGGCCTTGCCCTTCTCCCAGTGGGGGCCACCGCCAGAGCGAGGGAGGGCAGCGCAACGCTCAGCAAAAGAGGCAGGGCGCGCGCCGCTTTATCCAGCCCTGCCCGCCCGGCAGAGAGCTCCGCCTCCCCTTCCCACGCGCGTTCGAAAGGCGCAGCTGCACCCAAGGGCACGAGGACACACCGACCGTTGGGTGCGCCTGGGCTGTCCCGTCCACAGGCAAAGCCTCACGCCCTAACGCCCGCATTCCGCACTCCTCCCTCGCGCTACTTGAACTTCCGCTCTGCGTGCGCCCCGGGCTCGTTGACGTTCCGCCCGCCCACTTGCGCGGCACGCACGCATACGCCTCGGTTTCTGCCTCGCGCAGCCGTGGGGGCGGGGGCGTGCTGTGGTAAAGCTTGGGAGTTGTGTTGCTAAGCAACCGGATCCGGACTGTGGTGCGAGGAGCAGGTTGGTGTTAAAAAGCCAGTAACAGTCTCCATGGGACTAGCCCAGGGGTGCTGCAGAGTCCCCCGGCAGGGGGGGTGTTTGTATCGGGGGTGGACCACAGGAGCCAATAAGAGGGGGCAATGTGATGGGGGCAGGGAGGCCCTTGGAGTGTGTGATGGGGGAGCGGGGGCCATGGGTTGGGTGGGGGTGAGGCAGCAGGGGCCAATGGGGGGGCAATGTGTGATGGGGAGAGCAGGAGCCATTGCGTGGGGAGGGGGAACCAGGGGCCAGTAAGGGGGAGTACTCTGTGGGGACGCAGGGGCTAGTAAGGAGGCACTGTGATGGGGGAGCAGAGGCCATTAGTGCGGTGAGGAAGCAGGGGGCCAATAAGGGGGGCAATGTGTGCTGGGGGAAAGGGGGGACAAGAGCCTGCTGGGGAGAACAGGGGCCAGTAAGGAGAGAGGTGCTGGGTACATTCAGGAGCAGAGAACTTTTAGGGAGAGATACTGAATGTTGGAGGGGGGGAAAACAAAGGTAGATGAGGAGGGAGGGCTGGTTCTCTGGGGGATGGTTAGGATGGGTGTTGATAAATTAGAGAGACACATGACGTGAACCAATGTGCAGTAGGGAGACTTGTGCAAAGATGGGCTACTGTGATGGGATCTCATGTGTTTAAGGATGAGAAGAAGAAAGAGGTGGGGTAGGGCAGGGTGAACAGGTGGTTTCTGTAAAATGGGAATAGTTAGCAACATTTAACCTGCCTCATTCACGATTGCAAAGTTCTGTGGCAGATGGATGGAAGGTGCAATAGAAATTCAAATGATTGATTATCATAAAAATCAGTGGTTGGAATAGCACCACAGAGAATCTATAAAGAGCAATTAGAAGAGATATTTTTGCAGTCTGGTACGCTTTTTAAAATTAGAAATTAAAAATGTTGCAGTAGTTAAAATACATTTTATTATATTTTTTATTATATTTTTAGTTCAAAACTTGTTTTTACAATAAGAGATTCTTCCGATGAAGTGAGCTGTAGCTCACGAAAGCTTATGCTCAAATAAATTGGTTAGTCTCTAAGGTGCCACAAGTACTCCTTTTCTTTTTGCGAATACAGACTAACATGGCTGCTACTCTGAAACCTGTCTTTAGTTAGAGACAGTTTTATCATATTTTGAGAGGAGGAACAGAAGGTCAATTAATCTCTGAAAAAATAAATCCTTTCAGTCCACCAAACAGGTACAGCACTAGTGGGGGCTTTCCCTAAAAGCTCCAACAAGCATAACTCGGCTTCAACTTGAAGAGACCACCTCCAGGAAGGAGTAGTTCATTGTCCGTGACCTTTGCGATTGTTGGTCTCTTTATTGAGCCTGTCAAAAATGAGTGCCAGTTGTGATGGTAATTGTATGATGTCTCACTGAGACAACTCCCAAGTAAGTTGATGGAAATCTTCCAATTTTTTTCCAGTGGGAATTGGATTAGTTCTTGAAAGACTTAGCCATACACATTGTAAAGAGAGTGATCACTTTGGATGGGCTATTACCAGCAGGAGAGTGAGTTTGTGTGGGGGGGGCAGAGGGTGAGAAAACCTGGATTTGTGCTGGAAATGGCCCAACTTGATTATCATACACATTGTAAGGAGAGTGATCACTTTACATAAGCTATTACCAGCAGGAGAGTGGGATGGGAGGAGGTATTGTTTCATGGTCTCTGTGTATATAATGTCTTCTGCAGTTTCCACAGTATGCATCTGATGAAGTGAGCTATAGCTCACGAAAGCTTATGCTCAAATAAATTGGTTAGTCTCTAAGGTGCCACAAGTACTCCTTTTCTTTTAGCTTTCTAAGGGTCAATTATCAGGTTAAAAAACAGTAGTTTAATGTCCTTCCCTAAGTTATACATAATACCTGAGACTTAATAGAAAACTTTCTGTTAAATCTAGTTTATTCTTTACTTCTTATCCTGTTTTTGTTTATTTCTCTCAAGCTTGATCAGTGGATGTGCATGAGCCAGATCATTCACTTTTGTTTATAGTCAGCTTCTCGTTTATTCCACATTCAGGTGCTCTTTGTACTTGGAAAATGCTGCAGTGTTTAAACAACAAACAAGACAAGGGAGTTTCAGAGTAACAGCCGTGTTAGTCTGTATTCGCAAAAAGAAAAGGAGTACTTGTGGCACCTTAGAGACTAACCAATTTATTTGAGCATAAGCTTTCGCGAGCTACAGCTCACTTCATCGGATGCATACTGTGGAAAGTATAGAAGATCTTTTTATACACACAAAGCATGAAAAAATGGGTGTTTACCACTACAAAAGGTTTTCTCTCCCCCCCACCCCACTCTCCTGCTGGTAATAGCTTATGTAAAGTGATCACTCTCCTTACAATGTGTATGATAATCAAGGTGGGCCATTTCCAGCACAAATCCAGGGTTTAACAACAACGGGGGGAGGTAGGAAAAAACAAGGGGAAATAGGTTACCTTGCATAATGACTTAGCCACTCCCAGTCTCTATTCAAGCCTAAGTTAATTGTATCCAATTTGCAAATGAATTCCAATTCAACAGTCTCTCTCTGGAGTCTGGTTTTGAAGTTTTTTTGTTGTAATATTGCAACTTTCATGTCTGTAATCGTGTGACCAGAGAGATTGAAGTGTTCTCCGACTGGTTCATGAATAGGTCGGAATATGAACAAGAGGCTGCTCGGCAGCTCTCCAAAACCACTTTCTACAAGCCATTACCCTCTGATCCCACTGAGAGTTACCAAAAGAAACTACAGCATTTGCTCAAGAAACTCCCTGAAAAAGCACAAGATCAAATCCGCACAGACACACCCCTGGAACTCCGACCTGGGATATTCTATCTACTACCCAAGATCCATAAACCTGGAAATCCTGGGCGCCCCATCATCTCAGGCATTGGCACCCTGACAGCAGGATTGTCTGGGTATGTAGACTCCCTCCTCAGGCCCTATGCTACCAGCACTCCCAGCTACCTTCGAGACACCACTGACTTCCTGAGGAAACTACAATCCATCGGTGATCTTCCTGATAACACCATCCTGACCACTATGGATGTAGAAGCCCTCTACACCAACATTCCCCACAAAGATGGACTACAAGCTGTCAGGAACACTATCCCCGATAATGTCACGGCTAACCTGGTGGCTGAACTTTGTGACTTTGTCCTTACCCATAACTATTTTACATTTGGGGACAATGTATACCTTCAGATCAGTGGCTCTGCTATGGGTACCCGCATGGCCCCACAGTATGCCAACATTTTTATGGCTGACTTAGAACAACGCTTCCTCAGCTCTTGTCCCCTAACGCCCCTACTCTACTTGCGCTATATTGATGACATCTTCATCATCTGAACCCATGGAAGAGAAGCCCTTGACGAATTCCACCATGATTTCAACAATTTCCATCCCACCATCAACCTCAGCCTGGCCCAGTCCACACAAGAGATCCACTTCCTGGACACTACAGTGCTAATAAACGATGGTCGCATAAACACCACCCTATACCGGAAACCTACTGACCGCTATTCCTACCTACATGCCTCCAGCTTTCACCCTGACCACACCACACAATCCATTGTCTACAGCCAAGCTCTGCGATACAACCGCATTTGCTCCAACCCCTCAGACAGAGACAAACACCTACAAGATCTCTATCAAGCGTTCTTACAACTACAGTACCCACCTGCGGAAGTGAAGAAACAGATTGATAGAGCCAGAAGAGTTCCCAGAAGTCACCTACTACAGGACAGGCCTAACAAAGAAAATAACAGGACGCCACTAGCCGTCACCTTCAGTCCCCAACTAAAACCCCTTCAACGCATTATTAAGGATCTACAACCTATCCTGGTATTGTATATCCTGAAGGATGACCCAACACTCTCACAAATCCTGGGAGACATGTCAGTCCTTGCCTACAGACAGCCCCCCAACCTGAAGCAAATACTCAACAGCAACCACATACCACACAACAGAACCACTAACCCAGGAACTTATCCTTGCAACAAAGCCCGTTGCCAACTGTGCCCACATATCTATTCAGGGGACACCATCACAGGGTCTAATAACATCAGCCACACTATCAGAGGCTCGTTCACCTGCACACCCACCAATGTGATATATGCCATCATGTGCCAGCAATGCCCCTCTGCCATGTACATTGGTCAAACTGGATAGTCTCTACGTAAAAGACTAAATGGACACAAATCAGATGTCAAGAATTATAACATTCATAAACCAGTCGGAGAACACTTCAATCTCTCTGGTCACGTGATTACAGACATGAAAGTTGCGATATTACAACAAAAAAACTTCAAATCCAGAGTCCAGCGAGAGACTGTTGAATTGGAATTCATTTGCAAATTGGATACAATTAACTTAGGCTTGAATAGAGACTGGGAGTGGCTAAGTCATTATGCAAGGTAACCTATTTCCCCTTGTTTTTTCCAACCCCCCCGCTCCCCCCACTGTTCCTCAGACGTTGTTGTTAAACCCTGGATTTGTGCTGGAAATGGCCCACCTTGATTATCATACACATTGTAAGGAGAGTGATCACTTTACATAAGCTATTACCAGCAGGAGAGTGGGGTGGAGGGGAGAGAAAACCTTTTGTAGTGGTAAACACCCATTTTTTCATGCTTTGTGTGTATAAAAAGATCTTCTATACTTTCCACAGTATGCATCCGATGAAGTGAGCTGTAGCTCACGAAAGCTTATGCTCAAATAAATTGGTTAGTCTCTAAGGTGCCACAAGTACTCCTTTTCTTTAAGGCAAGGGAGTGTTTAGAGTATGGTTTGTTTGTTTCAACAGTTTCCACTGCAATTTAAACAATTAAAACAAAAAATCTGTTGGTTTTTTAATTAATAAAAGATAGTTTTTCAAAGTTTAAATTATTGTGAAAATCTGACCCATGTCACTTTAAATATTGGGACAGCTTTCATTCCATAATAAAGAGCAGGGGAAATTATTATTACTATATAGTCTGTGCTTTAAATTCAACTCAGAAGCCGAGCAACAGCGTGGGAGATCGTGAATAGGGCCTTACCAAATTCATGGCCATGAAATGAACCGTGAAATCTGGTCTCCCCCTGTGAAATCTGTTTTTCTGTGTGCTTTTACCCTATACTATACAGATTTCACAGGGAGACCAGCATCTTGCCACCCTTACCTCTACACTACCTTCAGAGCTGGGTGGCTGGAGAACAGCGGCTGTTGGCTGAGCGCCCAGCTCTGAAGGTGGTGCCCCACAAGCAGCAGCGTAGAAGTAATGGTGGCAATACCATGCCATGCCACCCTTACTTCTGTGCTGCTGCCTTCAAAGCAGGGTGGCCAGAGAGTGGTGGCTGCTAACTCAGGGCCCAGTCTACAGGCAGCAGTGCAGAAGTGAGGGTGACAATGCCATACCATGCCATCCTTACTTCTGCGCTGCTGCTGGTGGCAGCACTGCCTTCAGAGCTGGGTTCCTGGCGAGCAGCCACCACTCTTCAGCTGCCCAGCACCACTGCCAGCAGCAGCAGCGCAGAAGTAAGGGTAGCAGTACCGCAGCTCCCTTCTAGAATAACTCTGCAACCCCCACCCCAACTCCTTTTTGGGTCAGGAACCCTACAATTACAACACCTTGAAATTTCAGATTTAAATAGCTGAAATCATGAAATTTACTATTTTAAAAATCCTATGACCATGAAATTGACTTAAATGGACCATGAATTTGGTAGGGCCCTAGCACACAAGTGTAAAGTGCTCCTTGTGAAATTGTTCACTCATTAAAAAGATGGCTGTATTCTATGCCATTTAAAGTTTCTGAATAAGCTTATGGATGTTGTCTACATAGAATACATCATAATAGTCTAATTCTGAAGTGACAAAGCCATGGATGACAACAGCAAGGTTTTCATTTGAAATGGTCTGCAAATGAAATTGGCTCTTTTGGCCAAACATAAATGGAGGAAAGCAATCCTAGCCACTGATACTATCCAGAACTCCATGTGATAAACTCTGGTAATCAAAGACGGATGCACAACCTCGTTGAAGGAGAATAGAACCACAGTCATGTCTTCTGGTTATTTTCCCCAACCTACCATCACCTCCAAATGATCAAGGACCTTGATTATCATACACATTGTAAGGAGAGTGATCACTTTACATAAGCTATTACCAGCAGGAGAGTGGGGTGGGGGGAGAGAAAACCTTTTGTAGTGATAATCACCCATTTTTTCATGGTTTGTGTGTATAAAAATGTCTTCATGCATCCGATGAAGTGAGCTGTAGCTCACAAAAGCTTATGCTCAAATAAATTGGTTAGTCTCTAAGGTGCCACAAGTACTCCTTTTCTTTTTGCAAAAAGGGTATTGAAGGTGTAGTCATTAGTGAGCAGAAAGAGTGGTGGGGAGCAACACAGACACATCCAGGTCCAAGATTCAGGCAGGGGTTGTGCCACATACAGCCTTGAAGTCAAGGACAAGAAGTTTTAATTAGATGCACACCAGCACAGTGAGTAAATGGTGTCTAGTTATAGTCATGGATAAGAAGGTAGCCTTTGGCAATACCTTTTTGGATGGGATGGAACCATAAGGCTAGTATGAAGAAGACCGGGGAGAAGGAGATTGCAGTAATGAAGGTGGGAGATGATATGGGTAGGGACAAGGAATTTGGACGTTTTTCTATTTGGGGTGGAAATGAAAGGCCAGATTTTGAATAGAGGAGGAAAAAGGCAACATGAGTTGACCATAGTCTTGATGTGGGGCGAGACGGAAAGGGAGAAGTCAAAGACATCCCAAATTAATTACTACAGGCCTGCATGACAGAGGATAGTGGCATCATTAACGGTAAAGAAGATTGGAAGTAGTGGAGGTTTGGGATGAAAGATTATGAGCTTAGATTTGGCCATGTTGAGTTTAAGATGACAATAAACAATCCAATATAGGCAGTCAGGGAGGTAGCAAAATATGATATCAAAGTAGAGTTGCCAACTGTCTAATCACACATACCCAAACACCCTTGCCCCACCCTCTGCCTCAAGGCCCCGCCCCTTCTCCGAGGCCCTGCCTCGCTCACTCCATCCCTGCTCCCTCCATCGCTTGCTCTCCCTCACCCTCACTCATTCTTACCAGGCAGGGGGTTGGGGTGTGGGCTCCGGGTTGGGGCTGAGCATTCGGAGTGTGGGAGGGGGCTCTGGGCTTAGCCTGGAGCAGCTGGTTGGGGTGCGGTGTGCAAGCTCTGGGAGGGAGTTTGGGTGCAGAAGGGGGCTCTGGGCAGGGGGTTGGGGTGCAGGTGGGGTGTGGGGTGCTGGCTCTTGGAGGGGGCTTAGGGCTGGGGCAGAAGGTTGGGGTGCGGGCTCTGGCCAGGCGTCACTTACCTCGAGTGGCTCCCAGTCAGCAGTGCAGCGGGGCTAAGGAAGGCTCCCTGCCTGCCCTGGCCCCTCGCCTCTCCCAGAATCGGCCAGCACATCCCTGCAGCCCCTGGTGGGGCCAGGGGGCTCCGCACGCTGCCCCTACTTGCAGGCACTCCCCCACAGCTCCCAGTGGCCACAGTTCCCAGCTAATGGAAGTTGTGGAGTTGGCACTGGGAGTGGGGTCAGCACATGGAGGACCCCCCCAGGCCACAGGGACGTGCCAGCTGCTCTGGGAGCGGCATGGAGCCAGGGCAGGCAGAGAGCCTGCCTTAGCCCCACTGTGCTGCTGGGCTTTTAGCAGCCTAAAATCTTCCAGTTTGGCTTGAGTAGCCTTGAGGAGATAGAGCCCGATTCCAGGAGACTCCCAATGAAACTGGGAGGGTTGGCAACCCTATGTCGAAGCACAGAGTACAGGTCAGGAGTGGAGAAGTATACCTGAAAGTTATCAGAAAAGAGAGAGAATTCAACTCAAGTGAGCAGATGAATTCAGCCAAGGATAGGGACAAGAGGAGAAGGCTCAGAACAGAGACCTAAGGTACCCAAACTGGGAAGGGGGGACGGGAGGAGGATGATCGACCAACAGATGTTGAAATAGCTTCCAGAGAACAGGGAGAACCAAGAGAGGTCACAGCTTAGATTATAAATGCTTTGGAACAGGATGTGTGTGTGTATGTGTGTGTGTTTGTACAGTGCTTATCTTAATGGGGTCCTGGTCCATGACTGGGGCTGTTAGGTGCCAACACAATACAAATAATCTAAAAGCTGATATAAAGGCAGGATTGCAGGACAGATCCATTAGCTCCTATACAAAAATATACTGTATGCAGCATATGTACTACATTGGAGTTTGTGGGGGGAGCGGGGTCACAATCTACTTTTGTTTTACATGGAGCTAATTTTTTCAGCACCATTGTGCGTTGTGCTAACCTCTTGTTGTCCACAGGTGTAGAAAATAGTGAACATTGACAGTACTGTGGAAGTGTACAAAATTAATGAGGGTATTTCTGTTGATCAAAAAGTTACTAATTCTTTTGTATTTTTGGTTTTAGAACTACAAGATATTACAAAATATGCTGTCAATTGTCGCTGTCAATGGAACATCATTATTCTGTTTTGAAGACAAGTAGTTCATCAGTGACTTCAGTCCATAATTCTAAAAACAATTACAAGGTGCACAGGTCATATTTTATGCTAAAAGAAGTGAGCATTACAAAAAATTGAAATGAATATAGATACGCCCATTTAGTGTGTTAAAAGTAATATATACTTACAAGTATTTGTTTATGTTCAGGGCTATGAAAGGCAAGATTAGCCTTGGGATTGTGTTTAATTATACTGAGGCAAAATATGTTTAGGCATGTCCAACTTTTATAGTTCATAATGAGTTTATTGCATATAATAATTATGGGTTCAGTAATTAAAAGTTAAAAATTACTGCTATTTTATTTAATATAAACCATAAATCAAATGTTTCTTTTGACTTTATAAGTTAAGGTTAGGATGTGTCAGTAACATCAATCTTAAATTTCATATTATGGTAATTGTACATTAGTAAGACTTCAAGCATGGAAGTTGTATATGTATAAAAACCTTTGTTAAATTAAAACATCATTGGCTAAGGGCTGAACTTTTCTTTTTTAATATACTGTACATAATGTACACATATACAAGTCATTTATATTAATAATTTTGGATTTTTTTAGGGCAGTTCCTCCAAACGAGATATTTTAGCTGTTACTGCAGTTGCTTTACAAGATCATATTTTACATAACCTTCAGCTGCAGGATCTTTCATTAGCAGATCCTTTTAAGTCAAAGTTAAGGAATAAAAAGAACATTTACAAACCTGTGAACAAAGAGATGGTCAGAGCAGTAGTAGATACTGGACTAAGAAAAAAGAGCATTCTCCACACAAAAAAGGAAGATCCAGAAAAAGAATATGTCCTTGATCCTAACCCTCCACAATTAACATTAGGTAAACCATTATATTTTGATTTGTGTATTTTTGCATTTTATTTCAAACTTATTAGAATACAATAGCTAGATGTTCTTTTCAATACTATTATTTAGCATAAAGCTGTATAATGCATAGAAAGTTTATAAATGTCAAAATCAAGTACTTTGGACCTTCAGGAAAACAGTGATTATTTAAACGATAAAACTGCCATCAAAAAGGTTGAATACTTTTCACATCTGTCATATATTTGAATTTATTTTCAGTGTGACAGAGAAGGGGAGAAGGAAGAAATAAGTAAGTCTAGATGAATTTTTTCGTTCTAGAAACAGGCACTTTTTTCCCCACTGTTTTTTTGTAAAAAATTTTTTTATATTAGTGGTTGAAAATACAATGCAATACAAGTATAAACAAAAACAGATGTTATTTTTAATATTGGGATGATTATATAAGATTGTGTGCAACTGTCTCTTTACCTTTTATTTAGTAAATGATGTTTACTAGTTTGGGCATAAATTGTGTGCTGTTGCTAACTTTACCCACCCCTGCGCAAATTTAAAAATGTTTGTTTTCACAATGATCTTGGGGCGAACCCCAGCAAGAATTAACACCTGTAGTTAAATACCTACTTCATATTAAGAAGCAAACATGCAACAAGATAAAAGTCACAAAAGTGAGAGCTTGGAATCATGCATAGTGAGCAAATTTCTTTTAAAAAACGTCAGTTACTAACTTTCCATAACTGTTCTTCAAGATGTGTTGCTCGTGTCCATTCCAATGTAGGTGTGTGCTCATCCCAAGCACTGCTGCCAGAAAGTTTTTCCCCCAGGGTATCTGTGGGGTCGGCTCTGGTGCCCTCTGGAGCCGCTCCTTCATAGTGCCTATTTATAGGGCCCCGCTGCCTCTCAGTTCCTTCTTGCTGGCTAACTTGGACAGAGGGGCAGGCGAAGTGGGGTGGAATGGACATGAGCAGCACATCTCGAAGAACAACAGTTACGGACGGTTAGTAACTGTTTTTTCTTCCTTGAGTGCTTGCTCATGTCGATTCCAGTGTAGGTGACTCCCAAGCAGTTACACAGGTGGAGGGTTTGGAGTTTATTGGCACACTGATTGTAACACCGCTTGGCCGAAACCCACATCATCGCTAGCTTGCTGGGTGATGACATAGTGGGACGCGAAAGGGGGGACTGATGACCATGTTGCTGCTCTATAAATGTCCTGAACTGGGACTTGCGCGATGGACGTTGCTACTGATGCTTGAGTTCTTGGAGAATAGGCTGTCAGTGGAGGAGCCAGGACTTCACTAGGTCATACCATGTGCAGATACAGACAGTGATCCACAACTAAATTCTCTGGTCTGAGACTGAATGGCCTTTCATTCTGACTGCAATGGCTATGAAAAGCTGAGTGGACTTCCGAAAAGGTTTAGTCCTTTCTATGGAAAAGGTTAGTGTACACATAACACCTAGCTGGAGTCTCTGTTCCTCCCTTTTAGTATGTGGCTTCGGATAGAAGACAAGTAGGAAGATATCCTGGTTACTAAGGAATTGTGAGACCACCTTTGGCAGGAAGTCCAAGTGTGGCTGCAGCTGAACTTTGTCCTTGAAGATGACTGTGTATGGTGGTTCTGAAGTAAGAGCTCTGCTCTCTGAGACCTTTCTGGCAGAAGTAATGGTGACTAGGAAGGCCACCTTTCAGGACAGGTAGAGCAGAGAGAATGTTGCCAGTGGTTCAAATGGGGGTCCTGTTAGATTGCCAGCACCAAGCTGAGGTCCAGGGAGGGAGTGGCTTGTGTACCTAGGGGTATAGCTGCTCCAATCCCTTAAGAAAACGATTACAGATCGAGTTTGAGAAAACTAACTGCCTGTTCATCCATGCGTGAAAGGCTGAGATTGCGGCTAGATGGACCCTAATATATGATACTGTTAGGCCTTGCTGTTTCAAGTGGAGTAGATAATCTATAATGAAAGGCAGTGTTGACTGAGCAGGCAAAACCCCTTTTGCACTGAACAGATGGAGAATCTCTTCCACTTTGCCAGGTAAGTGGTTCTAGTGGACAGTTCCCTGCTCCCAAAAAGCACCTCGCAAACTGGCCCAGAGCATGGCAGTTCTGCAGGATTCAGCCATGGAGCTTCCAGACTCGAGGTTCAGATTACATACACAGCCGTGGTCCTGAGAGATCAGGCCCAGGAACAGGGGCAGGCTGATTGGCATGTCCACCAAGAGATCTAGGAGGGTGGTGAATCAGTGCTGACATGGCCGGGGCTATCAGGATAGGACGCGTCCTGTCCCTTCTGACCTTCAGCAAAACTCTGTATGAGAGGGATGGGAGGGAACGCATACAAGAGATGGTCTGTCCAAGGGAGGAGAAAGGTGTCTGTGAGTGAGACCAGGCTGTGGCAAGGAAGTAGCAGAACTGAAAACACTTCCTGTTGTGTTTTGTCACAAACAGGTCTACCTGCGGAGTTCCCCACCTCTGGGAAATGGTGCTCACGATCTGGGCAAATGGACCATTCGTGATGGTTGGGAAAGGATCTGCTGAGGTGATCCACTAACTTATTTGAGCCCGGAAAGTAGGAGACTTCGAGGTGAATCGAGTGGGCTATGCTGAATTCCCACAGTCGAAGAGCTTCTGGCATAGGGGAGAGGAGTGTTCTCTGCCCTGCTGTCGTGTTGTCTGTAAGGACCGACATGCTGTTGCCCTCCAAATGGGTTTGGAACACCTGGCAAGCTAGGTGCACTGCCCTCAGTTCCCTCACATTGATGTGTAACGAGAGGTCCTTTGGGGACCAGAGGCCCTGAGTTCTGTAGGTCCCCAAATGAGCCCCCCATCCCATTGCTGATGCATCTGTAATGAGAGACTTTGATTGGGACCTTGAGAGTGGGATTCCTGCACATACTGTCTGTGGGTCCAGCCACCAAAGAAGAGTTGCAATCACGGACAGAGGAAGTGATACCACCCTGTCCAAATGGTGTCAGCCCAGTGCATATGTCGATGCCAGCCGAGGCTGTAGAGGTCTGAGCCATAATCTCGCATGTTATACCAAATAGGTGCATGACGCTCTATGCCCTAGGAGCTTTAAGCAGTTTCTTGCTGTGGTGATGGGGTGATTCCTCAGGCTCTCTCTGAGCACCCCAAGTGCTCTGAACAAGTTTTCGAGAGAAAGGCTCTGGACTAGGTCAAGTTGAGGACTGTCCCAATTCTATCCTTTGAACTGGGGAAAAGGTAGATTTCTGCATATTTATCAACTGCTCCAGGTCCTGGAAGGTTGACTGTATTATCTCCACATCTACCTCCACCTGGGCCTTGGATTGACTTTTGATCAGCCAGTTGTCGAGGTAGGGGTAGACCTGAACCCCTTTTCTCCCAAGGAAGACTGCAGTGACTGCCATGCACTTTGTGAACACTTGAGGGGCTACTGACAGGCTGAATGGGAGCACAGTAAATTGATAGTGCATGTGGTTCACAATGAATCATAGGAACCTTTTGTGTCCCTGAAATACCGCAATATGAAAATATGCATCCTTCAAGTCGAGGGCAGTGTACCAGTCCTCTAGGTCCAGAGACGGGATAATGGAGGGCAAGGAGACCATGTGGAACATCAGTTTCTTCATGAATCTGTTGAGGTTTCGTAGGTCCAAGATCGCCATTGGCCTTCGGGATTAGGACCCCCAATCCTTTCACTCTAGTGGAACCTCTTCCATTGCTCCCGCCCTTAGGAGCAACTTGCACCTCTTGGGATAGAAGTTGGTCATGAAAAGGGTCCCTGAAGAGGAACAGGAAGGGTACGGATCCATGCGCGATAGAAGTGGGACAACTGGTCAACAAAAATAGGGAAAATTGGATCCACATATTGTCCTGGTACATCGTCCCTGAGAGTCCCATCAAAAGGCTTGCTTAGACCCCACTGATTGTCTCGGAGGGGCAGGCACTGGGACAGATGAGGACTGGGACAAAAGCCTCCTCTTATAGCCTCCACTCCTCCTGCTATAGTCTTGTCTCTGCTCTGGCGGATAAAAGCAGGCCAATGGTTGGGGCTTATGGTAATTCCTGGTGGGAGCTGGTGTATGCAACCCCAGAGATTTCAGGGTGGCTGTAGAGTCTTTCAGACTATGCAGCTTGAAGTCTGTTTGTTCCGAAAAGAGTAACTTGCCTTCAAGCAGAGGGTCCTGCACTGTCTGCTGCACCTCATAGGGCAACCTGAGGACTGAAGCCACGAACTTCTTGACATAACCATAGCCAAAGCCATGGATCAGGCTTCAGAGTTTACTGTGTCCAAAGCTGGCTGGAGGGATGCCTTTGCCACCAATTTCCCCTCTTCAACTAGGGCCAAGAACTCACCCCTAGACTCCTGCAGCAAAAGCTCCTTGAATTTTGCCATTGCGCTCCAGGAGTTGAAATCATACCGGCTCAGGAGCACTTGCTGGTTTGCAATCCTGAGCTGGACGACACCAGTTGAGTACACCCTCCTGCCAAAAAGGTCTATTTTTTTGGCATCTTTGGCCTTGGGAGTTGGCCCTAGCTGATCTTGCTGCTCCCACTCATTTGCGGCTGAAACTACCAATGAGACCAGTGACTGTGTGTATGTGTACAGGAATTCATACCCCTTGGAAGGGACAAAGTACTTTTTCTCCATCCTCTTCGCAATAGATTGGAGGGACACAGGGGTCTGCCATAAGGCCTTGATGGGGTCCAAAATGGCATTGTTCAAAGGCAGAGCCATCCGTGATAGCCCTGAAGCTGCTAAACTATCCACCTGGGCGTGGGATGATTCAGAGATCTCCTCGACCTGGATACCCAGGTTCTGGGCTACCCTCCTGATGAGCTCCTGGTGCGCCCTATAGTTGTCCTGGGAAGACTCTACACTTGTTCCAGCCACTGTCTCTTTGGGAGAGGAGGAAGAGGAAGCCTGTACCAGCAAGGGGCCTTGTTCCTCACCCTCTGAGCCGGATGGGTCCCATGGGGCTGGGTCTTGCAGTTCAGTACTGGGCTTGGCACTGAGGCCTGGTCCCTGCTCCAA